AGTAGGCAGGGTGAAGTTCAGGTCAAGAGGCTGTCCTGTGATTGTGCTGGGGGGCGTGGGTTAGAAGGGAAGTTTAAATAGCGGCCATTTTAGGGTAAGTTCATTCTAACTTGAGCCTTTCTTACCTGTAAATTGTTGCAGGTCGGTTGGGCTCCTCTTTTCTTCTTTTCCAGGTGTCATTAGAAGAACTTCTGTCGGGTCTGCGGTCCGTGGTGCAGGAGAAGGGAATGGCGTGGCTACAGGAGCAGCTGGGGGTTCCGAGCACGTCTGCTCCCCCCCATGCGGTGCCGGATCGGAGGCCGGAGAGGAGAGCTAGGCCGCCCCAGCGGCTTAGTCCTGGAGCGGGTCCTGCAGCCAGACGGAGGAGGAGCTCGGCGGGAAGCAGTGCGGCGGCCGGAAAGCAGGGACGTGGAGCGAGTCGTCGGCCGGGACCGCCAGCTAGGCGCAATGCCGGGGCGGTGAGGTTGCAGGCCAGGAGGAGGCCTCCCTTGAAGGGCGCCCCCTGCCGGATGGCGGCGGGCGGGCAGGCGGAGCTGACAGCTGGTGCAGGAATGGAGCAGGACGGAGGGGAGTCGGCTGCAAGACCCAGGAGCAGCCCTGGACGTCCCGGTGAGTCGCCCCCTGGGGGCAGCACTGTGGGGCAGGAGGGATTGAGAGGGGCTGGCAGTGGCAGGACAGCGGTCTCACAGGTTGGGGAGAGGGACCAGGTCAGCAGGGCACAGCAGGAGGCGGCTGGAGTTGGAGGCAGGAAGGATAGCGCTGCGGATCCAAGGGATCAGAGGAGCATGGCCAGGAGCTTGGGAAGAAGGGGAGACGGGCACAGCATCGGCAAGTCTGGGGACCCAGGAGACAGGAGGAGTGGCAGTATGGAGCGGAGTGGCAGCAGGCGGGTGACTGGCCAGGAGGACGGCGGCACCCAGGACAGCAGTGGGCGGGAGGCCTTTAGGGGTCGATCCCAGGAGCGGCTCGATAGGAGGAGCGCCAGCAGAGGGAATGGCGGAGGATGGCAGCGCGGAAGGGCAGAATGGCGGGACAGCAGGTCAGGGTCTGCAGGCAGAAGGAGACATGGGAACGGGAGCCCAGCAGGGAACCGGAGCAATAGGAGGAGGTCAGCTTCTCGGGACAGGTGGCTACGGCGCCGGCGCAGTGAGTCAGGGTCGTCTGAGAGGAACCACACGGCACGGAGGAGGAGAAGTAGCGAGCGGGAGGGACGATGCAGGCAGGGAAGTGGTGAGGACGGGTCTGATCACGGGAATGAAGGGCGGGTGAGGCTGCAGTCGGACAGATCACCCAGGCTGTATTCTCCTTGCAGGTCGTTGAGTAGGACGCCCACGAGAGCAACACACGAACAGGCAGGCAGGAGTCGGCGTCCCCTGGTTCCTTCTGGGTCGGCTGTCGTGGTGGAAAAAGTGGCGCCCCCGCGGCCAGCAGCGGCCGGGGGCTTGAGCGGTGAGTCTCCAACTGCATCACACCCAGGAAGCTTACTTGGTTGTTTAAGATCTCTGTTAGATTCATGGTCTGGGGACGGGGGGTCTCCGACACGGTTTGAGAAAGTGTGGGTTGCAGACGGCGGTCGGGCAACAGGGGTGAAGGCCGCAGCGTCAGCGGAGCCGAAAGGGGGTGAGGGCGCCGCGGGGACGGGTCAAGGAGCAACGGGTGACGTGGGTGAGCATGTCGTTCTCTGCGGGGAAGTAACGGATGCGGCACGGCAAAATGTGCATGTGTCTTTTGCGGGACCGCTAGGGTGCCACTTAAAGGTGGAGGTTAAGGAGAAAATTTGGAAAGGGGAGTTCGTGGAAATATTTTCCCTGCTTCCCCTGGAGGAATTTTTAGACTTGAAAGAAGAGGATAAAAAGGATGCGAAAAAGGAAGAGGAGGAAAAGAGGCGGAGGTATCGGAAAATACCCAAGTCTTTTGGGAACTGGTTGAGGGCTTTCTGTATTTTGGCGAGCGTGATCGGGGAAAAATACCCGGATCGATGTTCGCAGCTTTTTTGTTATTTAGACGGGATAGGGGACGCATATCGGACCTATGGGGGTTTAGCATGGTGGAAATATGACGAACAATTTCGTCAGCGATTGGCGGCAAATCCGTCCATGCGGTGGGACCAGATGGACTTGCCTTTGTGGATGAGGCTGATGATGGCACAGAAAAGTGCCCCCTTTCTCGGAGCGGCCGGCACGGGCTCAGGTACCGTGTCGGCAGGTCAGAAGAAAGGTTTCTGCTGGCTCTACAATGAGGGCCAATGCAAGTGGGGTGCATCTTGCAGATTTAAGCACGAGTGCTCCGGTTGCGGGGGTAATCACGGAGTTTCCAGGTGCTTCCGAAAAGGTAAGCCGAACTTGGGAGGAGGGGTTGTCGGCACATCAACAGCTGCGGCTGCAGCTGGGAGCGTCGCCGGTGAAGGTAAGCGCGATGCTGCCTTGGTTAAAACTATACGATAATCAGGAGGTGGCAAAGTTTTTACGGCTGGGTTTTACGGAGGGTTTCAGGATTCCGTTTCAAGAAAGGGCTGCGGGTGGGTTATGTAAAAACCTTCGGTCAGTGGGGGAACATCCGAGCATAGCTCGGGAAAAGTTATGTAAGGAAGTGCAATTAGGGAGGATGGCGGGACCATTCGCTTCCCCGCCGTTGGTTGGTTTGCGGGTGTCTCCACTTGGGGTAGTCCCCAAGAAGGAGGCGGGTAAATTTCGTATGATCCATCATTTATCGTACCCACAAGGTACATCGGTTAATGATGATATCGACGAGGCCCTGTGTTCTGTTTCCTACACATCATTTGACAAGGCTGTCGAGTTGGTTAGGAGAGCGGGACAAGGGGCTCTAATGGCGAAATTGGATGTGGAGGCAGCTTTCCGGCTGCTTCCCATACACCCGGATTGTCATCACTTATTGGGGTGCTATTTCGATGGGGGGTATTTTGTGGACTTATGCTTGCCTATGGGTTGTGCCATCTCGTGTGCTTACTTCGAGAGGTTTAGCACCTTTTTGGAGTGGGTCGTACGACGGGAATCGGCTGGGGTGCTGTGGTGCACTACCTTGACGATTTCTTATGCGTTGGCCCACCACGCACGGAGCGCTGTAGCCAGGTGTTGAGGACCTTTCAGTGGGTGGCGCACACATTTGGGGTGCCGTTAGCAGAGGACAAAACGGTGGGGCCCACTACGTGCCTCAGCTTCCTGGGTTTGGAGATCGACTCGGTACGGAGGGAGTGCAGGTTGCCCGGGGACAAATTACATGCCCTTCAGCGGCTAGTGGACACGGTTGGTAGGGCGAGGAAGGTCACCTTGCGTGAACTTCAATCGTTGATAGGGAGCCTGAATTTTGCGTGCCGAGTGATCCCTATGGGGAGGGTCTTTTGCAGACGATTGGCGCGGGCGACAAGCGGGGTGAGAAAACCGTCGCATTATATTAGGGTGTCAGTGGACATGAGAGAGGACTTGGAGGTATGGGCTAGGTTTTTGAGGGAGTTTAACGGGAAAGTGTTTTTTCGGGAGCCGTTGGGAACCTCCACGGCCGTGGGTTTGTTTACGGATGCATCAGGCAGCATCGGTTTTGGGGCGTACCTAGCGGGTAAATGGTGCGCGGAGGGGTGGCCGGAGGCATGGAAAGCGAGCCCCTTGATTAGGAACTTGGCCTTTTTGGAGTTTTTCCCGGTTGTGGTGGCAGTGGCGTTATGGGGTCCGGAGTTAGCCAATAAGAGGGTGGTGTTCAATTCGGATAACATGGCAGTGGTGCAGGCTATCAACGGATTATCGGCTTCTTCATGGCCAGTGGTACGGTTGTTGAGGCAATTGGTTCTCTTGTGCATGTCTTTTAATATTGTGTTTCGCGCTCGGCATATACCGGGGCTTACCAATGTTGTCGCTGACGCGCTGTCTCGCCTACAGTGGGAGCGTTTTCGGGAGGCGGCGCCGGAGGCGGAAAAGGAGGGTCAAGCCTGTCCGGCGGAGATGTGGGAGCTCGGGACGTCTTGCTTGGGGAGTACATAAAGAAGTCTCTGGCGCCTGGAACTTGGTTCTCCTATGTTAAGGTCTGGCAAGTGTGGGAAGACACGATGCAGCAGGTAGGGGTGATGGGCCCGGGGAGCAATCGGCTGGACATACTGTTATGGATCCTATGCCGGTTGTTCGCAAAGCAAGCGTCGCCATCGATGGTTGATAGGTACATGTCAGCGTTGGCGTTTTTGTTTAAGTTTAATGGATGGGAAGATGTGACGAAGCATTTTATAGTGAGGCAAGCGGTTCGGGGATACAGGAAAGGTAAGAAGACGAAGGATACGAGAAGACCAGTCTCCTTCACAGTGTTACAGGGGTTAGTGAACAAACTACCTGAGATATGTTTTTCTGTGTTTGAAGTGGCGTTATTTACGGTGGCTTTTTCGTGGGCCTTTTTTGGGGCGTTTCGGATTGGTGAGTTGCTTAGTGCTAACAAGAGAGGGGTTGGTGGGCTTAGGTTGGAAGATGTGACGGTTAGTAGGGACAGGGTATTGATCCACCTGATTCAATCAAAGACGGACGTATTTGGTAAAGGTTCCATGGTCACGTTGTTTGGTTTACCAGGGTCGGGGTTGTGTCCGGTGGCAAGTGGGGCCGGGTTTTTGGAACTACGCCCGATAGGGAGCGGTTGTTTCTTCATACATGCCGACGGCACGGCACTGTCGCGCTTCCAATTTGTGCAGGTTTTCCGTTTGGGATTACAGAAGTTGGGTCTGGAGCCCATGCAGTTTGGAACACATTCATTCCGAATAGGCGCGGCGACCGAAGCGGCTCGCTTGGGTTTAGGGGATGAGCGGATTAGACGAATTGGGAGATGGGAATCTCTCAGGTTTCGCTCTTACGTACGGCCAGATAGGCTGGTTTGAAGGGGTGGTTGATTGTGGGTGTTTGGGATGTGCTGGTGATGTTTCCTCAATGTTATGTTTTATTTTAGGTTGGACGGTGTGGATAATTGGCCATTCGTATATCCATTGGGCAAGGAGGAGGGCCGCAGTTAGAAGACATGGAACACAGCTGGGCTTTCCTGAGGATCGGGTGGCGTTATTCTGGTTCGGTTATCGGGGGTTTGACTGGCAGCACATTATTACGGTATTGTTTCGGAAGGTAGCGGAGGAGCCCTTGCCGAACGTGGTGGTAATTCACGGGGGGGGGAAACGACTTGGGTCTGGTCCCCCAACGTGAACTGGTTAAGTGTATGAAGCAGGACGTTGACAGACTAAGGGGGCTTGTCCCTGGCGTGAAAGTGGTATGGTCGGAGATGGTACCTCGTTTATGCTGGAGATACGCCAGGGATGAGAAGGCAGTTTCTCGATGTCGGGGTAAAGTGAACAGGACCATGGCGGTGTTCATTCAAAGGTTAGGAGGCGTGGTGGTGAGGCATCGGGAGTTGGAGGAGAGATTACCGGGTTACTTTCGTGATGACGGGGTGCACTTATCGGATGTTGGTTATGACCTTTTTAATTTAGGTTTGCAAGACGGGATAGCGCAAGCCCTGTTTTTGTGTGGTGGGGGTCGCACATGTCCTTAAGGGGTCAAGGCAAGTGCTGTGGCGGAAAAGGTCTTGGTTAAACTGGAATTTTGGTGGGTTAAGAAATTGGTAGGCCAAGGTCTAGGCTGGAGTAGGCCGGAAGTCAAAAGTATGGAGGTAGGTTCGAGCCCGTCGGTGGCTACGAACCAAGGGGTGTAGGGGTGTCTGGGTACACCCCTGCAGTTAGACAAATGGAGGTGGGGCCTCTTGGTAGGCCGTTGAGTTACGTGTATGTATTATTGGTTATGCTAATGTTTGTTTTGGTAGGGTCATTGTCAGGGGTATGATATAGGAAGAGAGCCTAACGAAGGAGTACTGTTGACAATGACCCTAAATTGTTAATTTATATATTGATATTAATTAATAAAGCTGTGGACTTTATACTCCAACAGAATTTTCGGTGTCTGCGTGTTATTAAAGTATGGTTGGCACATGCCGAATAACGACTGTGCAATAATGTCATGAAACCACGGAGCAACGCAGGGAGGAGTGGGCCTTGACAGAGCCAGGAGTAGGCAGGGTGAAGTTCAGGTCAAGAGGCTGTCCTGTGATTGTGCTGGGGGGCGTGGGTTAGAAGGGAAGTTTAAATAGCGGCCATTTTAGGGTAAGTTCATTCTAACTTGAGCCTTTCTTACCTGTAAATTGTCCCTCCCACCCACCCTATGAGTTAGTAGTAGTTCCCGCTTGGTCACAGCGGCGGGAAAAGGTCTTGGTTAAACTGGAATTTTGGTGGGTTAAGAAATTGGTAGGCCAAGGTCTAGGCTGGAGTAGGCCGGAATTCAAAAGTATGGAGGTAGGTTCGAGCCCGTCGGTGGCTACGAACCAAGGGGTGTAGTGGTGTCTGGGTACACCCCTGCAGTTAGACAAATGGAGGTGGGGCCTCTTGGTAGGCCGTTGAGTTATGTGTATGTATTATTGGTTATGCTAATGTTTGTTTTGGTAGGGTCATTGTAGGGGGTATGATATAGGAAAAGAGCCTAACGAAGGAGTACTGTTGACAATGACCCTAAATTGTTAATTTATATATTGATATTAATTAATAAAGCTGTGGACTTTATACTCCAACAGAATTTTCGGTGTCTGCGTGTTATTAAAGTATGGTTGGCACATGCCGAATAACGACTGTGCAATAATGTCAAGCTCCACTGAGCTAACCTAACCAGGAAGTAACAGGACCGGTTGCCCAATTGACAGCCAGAGGGATGAAACAAAGTTAATTTATTAAAGTGACAATTTCTACTGAAATTAATTTTATGTAACATGAAAAAAGCTCTAGCGTTTTAGATGTTTGGAATGTTCCTTGAACTGGTTTGACTACGAAACCTGGGAGAGCACCAGGGATTTCCTGGCACCATAAGTACTACAGCGTTTTTAACAACTTACCAGGCTCCATCAGGCTCCAGTCCTACTCGAGGAAACTCTGCATTGAGCTAAGCCGGTAGTTTAGGACTTTAACTCACTTAGGGCTCATCTATCAATGGGCCTGCTCTGCTCGGCTTAACTTGAAAGATCAGACGGACACTCTGTGTAGAAGCTTCCACCTCTCTTGGAAGCTGTGACTTGTGCCTGTTGGACCCAAGGTTGATTGTCAAACTGTTTGCAAATGGTTTGACTTCTTATCCTGGAAGTAAGTAGTGTTTTGATTTTTTGCATTGAAATTTCTTTAAGATTAATAATAACAAATATACCGTCTGAAAACTGCACATCAATAATAGTGAATTGTTTAATTTCTCCAGGTATCGAACAGTAATCTCACAGGAAATACTGACAAAGTCTGTAGATAAGATACTAAGCTGAAGGATACATCAGCTAATATTGCTTTATATGGCTGTTTAACTCCATGTCGACTCCATGTTGTGCCGTGCATCGGTATGCCTCCACACCGGGAAATAATTAGTAAATATATGTACTGGCCTCCCGTCCGAGCATACAATATGGGTATTAAAACAGACAGAACAGAAACAGGAAGTGGAACACACGACTAATGTGCTGAGACACACGTACACTGCTCACACCCATCGCATTTCAAACACATTCCTGTGTGTGTTACTGTTACATTAGCAGAATGCAGTATTCTATGGTTAACACTTACAATTCCATGCTGGGCCAGACAAATACATCCCAACATTTCTAATTGACAAAGAGGATCACTCTAATTTTAGGTGTGTGGATAGGGGTGTAGCTGGGTAAAGTCGCCAGAAATGTATGCAACTAAAATGTAATTTAGAACACAATGTATCTTATTCACACATACTGAATTCTGAATGTACATACTGTAGTTTAAATATACATAACTGTGAGTATTTTTGTTGTGGAGCTCCATTATACACTGATCAGCCACAACATGAAAAACCACTCACAGGTGAAGTGAGTCACATTGATTATATAGTCACAATGGCACATGTCAAGGGTTGGGATATATTAGATAGCAAGTGAAAAGTCAATACTTGAATTTCATGTGTTGTAAGCAAGAAAAATGGGCAAGTGAAAAGAGTGACTTTGACAAGAGCTAAATAGTGACGGCTAGATTAATGAGTCAGAGTTTCTCCAAAACGGCAAGTCTTGTGGGCTTGTTCCGGTATGCAGTGGTTAGTACTTACTAAAAGTGATGTAAGGAAGGACAACCGGTGAAATGTGCCAGGATCATGGGCGCCCAAGGCTCATAAATGCACGTGGGGAACAAAAGGTGTCAGAACTAGGGATGCACCGAAATTTCGGCTGCCGAAATTTTCGGGCAAAATGGGTCAAATTTGCCTAATTTAAAAAAAAAAAGGTTTTATTTTTTGTAGTGCATGGTTTAACAGACATGCTTGCATTAACAATTCAGATGATTATAAATCACAATAAAAGATAGTAATGATAAAATGAAAAGTCAAGAATACTGCACTTGGGACAGGGGGAAAATAACAATGGGACTGGGAGAAAATAACAATGGGACAGGGAAGGGAGGAGAAAAGAACACTATAGGACTGGGGGGATCACTATTGGACTGGGGAGGAGGGGGAAAGAACACTATGGGACTGGGGAGGAGGGAGGAAAGAACACTAAAAATAGGGAGGGGAGAGGAACACTAGAGGGGGGAGAGAGGAACATTAAGCGGGGGGCACTAAAAGAGAAGGGAGAAGGAAAGTTTTTCATATTAGATTAAGTAAATTCATTAAAAAGTCTAATATTTCATAGTTTCATAGTTACATAGCTGAAAAGAGACTTGCGTCCATCAAATTCAGCCTTCCTCACATTAGATTTTTGCTGTGGATCCAAAAGAAGGCAAAAAAAAACAGTTTGAAGCACAATTTTGCAACAAGCTAGGAAAAAAATTCCTTCTTGACCCCAGAATGGCAGTCAGATTTATCCTTGGATCAAGCAGTTATTACCCTACATTGAAAGATTATATCCTTGAATATTCTGTTTTTGCAAGTATGCATCTAGTAGCTGTTTGAACATCTGTATGGACTCTGATAAAACCACTTCTTAAGGCAGAGGCCACATCCTTATTGTTCTTACAGTAAAAAAACCTTTTCTTTGCCTTAGACAAAATCTTCTTTCTTCCAGTCTAAACCCCCCTAGCCCCCTCAGAATGGGTTAAAGCTCACCTTATTTCCAGCTCTCCAAGGGTCCGCCGGTGCTGGTCCTGCCCCCTTGGTGACATCATCAAAATTGCCGATTTTTTGCCAATCCAATGCTTTCCCATAGGGAAAGCATTGGATTGGCTAAAATTGGCAAGGGGGCGGGGCCAAACACTGTTTTGGCCAACCATCACCTCCTCATAGAGATGCACTGAATCAATGCATCTCTATGAGGAAAATTCAGCAATCCAATGCAGAGCGTGGGGACGCTGAACGGCAGGGCTGCTTACTGTGCAGCACTGAGCCAGGAAGCACCTCCACTGGCCATCTAAGGAGTGGCCACTTGGAGGTGTCCCTAGGGGCAATGTAAACACTGCCTTTTCTCTGAAAAGACAGTGTTTGCATTAAAATGCCTGAAGGGAGCCATTATACTCACCAGAACAAATTCAATAAGCTGTAGTTGTTCTGGTGACTATAGGGTCCCAGTAATGTTGTGGCTGATCAGATAGTCCACTCAGAGACACAAACATGACATGCGCAAGACCACCCCCTAATGAAACAATGACACCGATATTTCTTGGGAAAATATCACAGCTTTTTATTTATGATAATTGTTTAAAAATAAAATTGTAAATAAGGGGTCAGAGTCAAACACACCTTAAGACATTAAAGCCCAACAATTTTCCAATGTAAAACATTTACAGACCATGACCCCTACATAAAAACTGCAAACTTAAAGCAGCATTTATCATAAGACACAGTTACCACAGCCACCAAGCAGTTGCGTACATACCAGGGTCGCAGGGGTCGCGGTTGCGACCGGGCCCGGCCCACCAGGGGGCCCGGCCGCCCCTGCGACCTGGTATGTACCCACAGGGCCAGCCTCTTCTCCTGCTGATTGGGGCGGGTGGGCTGTCTGGGTGGCCGGCGCGCGAGGAGCACTCTCCTCTGTGCGCTTCCTCTTCAGCTCCCTCGCGCACCGCACTGATACCGGAGCCGGCGCCGGCATCCCTATGAGGCGCGCGAGGGAGCTGAAGAGGAAGCGCACAGAGGAGAGTGCACCCTCGCGCGCCGGCCACCCAGCCCGCCCACCAAGCAGCACCACTGGACCCCAGGGAATCCCCCAGCACTCCAAAAGGTAAGGAGGCTGGGGGGATTAAAATTTTTTTTAAAAAATGTGTGTGTGTGTGTGTGTCTGTTAGTGTGTGTGTGTTTGTGTGTCTGTTAGTGTGTGTTTGTGTGTTAATGTTACGTGTGTATGTGTCTGTTAGTGTTTGTGTGTTAGTGTTAGTGTGTGTGTTAGTGTGTGTGTCAGTGAGTGTGTCTGTTATTGGGTGTGTGTCTGCTAGTGAGTGTGTCTGTTACTGAGTGTATTTGATGTCTGTTAGTGAGTGTGTGTTTGTCAGTGAAAGTGTATGTTTTGTAAGTGACTGTGAATGCATGTCTGTCACTGAGTGTGTCTCTGTCAGTAAATGTGTGTGTCTGTTAGCTAGTGTGGAAACTCCCTGCAAAACATTCGGAAGCTGTCTGTCCCTAACAGGAATTGCTGCAAGTCATATATAGCACTGTGTGTTCTTGTAACGCGGAAAGCTTGCACGCACTCTGTATTTTCTGTCCATGTAACATGATTCAGCATTTTCCCTCTGCTACAATGATGCAGACATGACCAATTAACTCCTTGACTACCGAGTTCTTTTAAATTAAATTCGGGATTATTCTAGCGTTAGTGACTGAATAATCTAAATTTTATTAAAGACAGGAGGCGAATATTTGCTTTAACCTTCTTTACTGAACCTCCCAGCAGCAAAGAAATAGTTAAACATATAGAGAAAAAAATCAACCAATCAGGACACATATTAGAACATAACAGTCTGTCAGGCTCCTCCCAAATCCTCTTTCTGATGCAGCCGATCATAAGTGTAGTCAACCGTGTAAACTTGAGTAATCCATCAACCATGTAAACCAGAACGCAGCCGATACTAGAGACCAAAAGAACGTAGTCTTCGTGGCTCATGTAGAGAAACTTCACACTAAAAGACAGAGAAAGATCGTGAAAGTATGGTCACCTGGACTGGGTGTCCGCAAGATACCTACATTTACAGATCTACCCCCTGGATATTACGAGTATAACTATTGCAAATTTAAAAATAATCAGAACCAGGCAGATTGATAAGCGCCTAAACAGAGCAAACAAGAAAAACAGTCAGATAAATATAAAGTCTCACAAGAAACCTAGAAAAAATTTTAAGAGTACATGTGATCTGAAAAAAATCTGGGTGGGAGAGCAATAGGGTGGGAAAATATTCGCCTCCTGTCTTTAATAAAATTTAGATTATTCAGTCACTAACGCTAGAATAATCCCGAATTTTATGGCAAGACAGGACGCTTCATATTTGCTGTTTTAAAGCGTGGAAACCAAAGAAAAAGAAGCATGGGACGATTGTCGAAAATAGAAGGTACGGAAGGTAGATTCTCTAGACCAATGAGCGCATTTTAGGATGTCTGCAAGGGATCCCCCAGCTATAAAGGCGGAAGAGGCAGCAGTGCCTCTGACAGAATGAGCGCCAAAAGATGAATCTATGCCCGCTGAATCTAGAAGCCATTTAATCCGGCGGGCAATCGTGGGACAAGACACTGGCTTGTGTGGTCGCACATATGAGATAAACAGGGGGCCCGTAGGGGGACGTAGAGGTGATGTAGAGGCGACGTAGTGTTGGACACAACGAGCAACGCAAAGCGATGGTCTGTCGGAAAAATAAAGGTAAGTAATCGTTAAGGAATTAGTTTTAGTGCGGCGAGAAATGTTGAAACATACACCTTGGGGCGTGAATTCAATAGCGTGAAAGTCAAATGCCTGAATATCAGAGACTCTCCTAAAAGAAACCAAGCAGAGGAGAAAAGCTACGACAGTTGTCGTAAAGAGAGTGCTTCATTGGGTGGCCAAGTCTCTAGGAAGGACAAAACAAGAGCAATATCCCAAAAATGAGAATATTTTGGGACAGGAGGTCGAGCAAGACGAATGCCACGCAACAGTCTACAGATGGAGGGGTGTTTACCTATTGCTGTATTATCAATGGGGCCATGAGCTGCCGTAATTGCTGAACGAAACACATTAATGGATCTGTAGGATTTACCTTGATCAAAAAGAGAGGACAGAAAGTTCATGACGTTAATCAAAGAAGCTGAAACGGGATCAATACACCTTTCCAAGCACCAGCGATGCCAAACTCGCCAGGCTGAGAGGTAAGAGCGTCTAGTCCCGGGGGCCCATGAGTCCCATAAGAGTGCTCTAGCAGTCTCCGAAAGTCCTGCGGCATTCCAGGATCCCCTGAAACAGTCCAGGCCACTAGCTGGAGATGACCCTGCAACGTAAGAGGGTGAAAATTG